CCTAATCTGGCTTCAGACTCCTGCTTGTTCTCTGTTCTCCGGAGCTGCAGCATCTTGTGGGCAGCCCACCGGATGTATCCTACCTCGTTCTCAGAACATTGGCTGAACTGTTAAATCAGGTTAGTGACTCATGCGTAGATATCATTATCCTGTCAGGGGCAGTCCTGATTAGATTGATGTCACTTTTATTACCTTGTCTTTTCACTTCCTGTTTTATTTTGGAATTCATTTCCTCTCTCATTTTAGGCAGCTTCACTTCCTGAGTTCCTTCCTGCAATCAGGATCTGCCACAGCCTAATGCAATTCACCTGGTGTATGTGCTCCTCTTTTGTTTGTTAGAGTATTTAGTTCCCACCCTTGCAGCTTCCCTTTGCCAGTTCGTCTTTGTCCTTTGAGCTTAGCGTTCCAGCCTTTTTGCCGGTTAGAATTAGCTTTCTAGTGTTTTGACCCCTGCTTGGATTTGGACCTGTCTTTGCCTCCGTTTTTTGATACTTCTGTTTCTACTGGATTTTTTGGTGTTCAGCCTTGGACTGAATTAAAAGAACTTTGAGTTTGTGACACATCCGGGTGATTTAAGTGGTCCCTAACCTGTGTTTCCTTTTACAGAGTTTCCTGTAATAGATGACCTAACCTCTGCTACTCCGATCATCCATAGTTTTAATAAATGCTTTTTGAATTATCCCAATGTCTGTCTTGCCTCGAATACTGGGTTATCTGTACTGAGTCATGACATTTTGAGTGTAACCAAATGAGGAATAAGGTTTAAAAAAGGCATTGTGGACATAAATATTTAAAATAAATAATAAGCTGTTTTTCCCCATTCTCAATTGTAAATATATATATATATATATATATATATATATATATATATATATATATATATATATATATATATATATATATTACTGGAAAAAAGAGAAGAATAACACCAGTCAAAGCAGCACAACGAGAGTATAAAATATACATTTGTCTGAAAAACTCTTAAAAGCTCTGTCTATTACAACAGCAAAATTATTTATGTGAAAATATGGGATGAATTAAACTACCAAATGTTTTGACCTCAACTAGATACTATCTATTAGTACTTTATTACAAGAAGGTACATTCATACAAAATATAAAAAATATAAAAACTAAAAGATATTTCTACAACCACAAATAATGATTCATTATTTGGAAAAAAGCAGCTGTCTGTGTAAGATCCATATGGGTGAGAAAATGAGAGGGAGCAAATTTAGTTTAAAATATGCATGGATAGTCGTGTTTTTATGAGAAAAAATACATGTAAAATATGCAAGGAGTGAGAAAGCCATTGACATTCAGAAGAAATTAATGCCTGAAGAATATTTCTATTTTGGATCTGCTCATGCATTTCAGGCATAGATTATTAATTACAGCAGCTCTGTATAGCCTCACTGTTTCCTTCAGCATCTTAATTAATTCAATTACTTGTCAAACATCTGGATATTGTCGCTGTTTTGATTAATGAGCTACATAAAAAATATTTCATTTTCTCATAAGTCAATAATTTTGTACATTACGTATATGTCACAAAAGAGCTACGCATTTGACTTTAACCTTGTTTAATCACCATTGGAGCTGTCTGAATTGGAGGTAGGGAGCGTCATGCTTCCTGTTCAGGCCAAATATACAGACCCATCCCTCCACATACCAAGCCAGCCTGTTGCATGTGAAAATAGGTTGATTGCCCCTTATGGCCTCCATAGTCACCATATAACAGTTTCCTAGAACACCTTTCTGATGCAATGGAACAGAAGATTTGCACCATGAATAAGCAGCTGGCTAATCTGCAGTGATTGGGTGAGACTATGATGTCAGTAGGGGCCAACATTTCTGAGAAATGTTTCTGACATAAAGAAATTCAGGCGCTTTTTGGTTGGTCCAACCTTGTACCTAGAAGGTGGACCTAATAGGGTTTTGTGGGCTGTTTCTGTGTGAATGCCTTTCAGCAGCTAAAGTTCTAATTGAATTATTTATACAAATCAAAAGACCTTATGTTTCCTTGTTAGGAGGAATAAAAAGCGTTTCTGCAATGTAGGCAAACATAGCTTACCTTGGCGTTAGAGAAGTCACCTTGGCGCGCGCCGGCTACCATTCATTCATCCTGTCCGCTCAACTGCTGTTAGTTTTACTCACATACCTGGAGCTACTACCACAAATGATCTCGCTCTTGAAATGAAATTGAGCGATTCAGATTAGCTCCCAGAATGAATAGAAGGGGTAGAGTATAGCCGCCTGTGGCCTGGGCTGCCTGTCACAACTCCAGTCCGCCGCGTGGATGACGTCATAAACACTCAGCTAACATAAATATAAAAATATAACCGCGGATGTCTGGGGGACAGTGATTTGCCTACATGTTATGAATGCTGGCATACCATAAATGATAAATTATGAACAGTTTAGTTTGTGCCTTCAACTCGTTGCTCATAGGAAGACACTACTTGGATATAACCGGAATATCTTCAGAACAGCTCCAAATGACACAAAACTAATATGGGTGAGTACAACATGATGTAATAACGTAAAATCAAGGGCCCAATGTAAAAAAAAAAAAACGGTGTTCCCCTTTAAGAGTCAAACATAAACTTTCATAAAGTTGAGGCATACAGTATATTCTATTAAAGAGTAAAAATTGGCTAAAAATGTAAACTTAATGAGAGTCATTTCATAATACCAGAGTAGCATGCTATTTATTATTAAATCAAAAGCTTTTTCACTACTGCTGCAACCAGCCTTTAAAGACGTGTTAATGCTGAAGTTGCCTGATTTAAAAAGATATTTTGAAACCCGACTTTTACATTATTTTTCTTAAAAGGGAATAAATAATGAAACCTTATATAGGATAAATAGAAAGTATTTCTGAATCTAAAAAGATGAGACTTTTGAGTATTTTTACATATATATATTTTAGTAAAATTTGCATGAAGCAGATATAGGGGGAGTGGTTGTGGTTAATCATACACATCACTATACTAACATACAATATACTAATATCAAAGATGATAAATGCAGAATTCATGCTCTTTTCAGAACTAGATTTTGTCTTATGGGGTAAAGAGAAAGCGTGTCTCTGCAAGTCATCTGGGAGTCTTCAGGGAAATCATAGATAAATAACAATTTTAATAAAAATGTAAAAATTTAGATATAAGTGCTTGTAAATATCAATTTTAAGCAGAATGTTTATTGATACAAGTAGGTAAGTAATGACGATGCAAAAGATTTAAGCCCCAGATTTCAAAACTGAACTATACCTTTTATTTAGAAAGCACGGATGTTAAAATATATGTGTCTATTTGTTAGCAAAGGCTGTAGGAAAGTATAGTCTGTCTTTATTTTGAAAATACGATATTTTGCTCATTAATTTTCCTGTGTGAACAGTGTAGATTGACCCTGAGGTTCTGGTGTCTATCCACTATCTGCCAACCCTCAGTGTACATTGGTTATTGCCTGGCCACCCTTATAAAAATGTTCTGGCTACGCCTCTGTTCCTTACCAACTTCCAGGAAACATATTTTATTTGAGATGAACACAGACATCCCAAGTCTCCCGGAAGTTCCGGGAGTCTCCCTGATATAGATAGTTGTTCACGGACGGATCAATTTTCCTGGATTGTAGACTTTGCAAAGTGGTGTTTTTTAATGCAAGCGAGAGCGATCAGGCAGTACAATAATTCATTCCCCATGTGCGTATTAGAACTACTGCAATTGCGCAGACACAACAAGAGAGCGCGGGGTGAGGGGAGGAGGTTGCTGGTGAAACCTGTGCAGTGTATCTGTCCAAAGCGATGCGTTCAAGGTGACTATTTGTCAAAGAGACAATAGATGATTGGATTAGTCAGAAAAGTTTCTGGTTACTCTATGGCAGTCACCTAGTTACCACTCAAAGCTGTGCATCCTGTCAAACGGCAGAGGTTCAATCCTCGAGTAAAAAACTAAAATATAGGACCAATTTTACAGCAGAATATACTAAAGTATATCCACGTCTAGTTAAGGTGAGGAACAGTGGCGGATCTAAACCAAATGTACCAGGGGGCCAGGAGGGGGCCAGCGTGTTTTCATGGGGGCCCAGAAAAGCATGAAATAAAAAACAAGGCAAGAGATTCAAATATATTAAGAGAGCTGCATGAAGTGAAATTTCTTTTCAATTGGGTTCAATAAAAATTCTATTTCTTATGAGGTCAATATACATTTATAATTTAGGAATTTTACATATTTTTGACTTAATTTAAGTTAAAACTACCATTTTCTATAAAAGAGCTCAAGAAAAGCTGTTAAATTCATCTGTAAAAATTAGAGCATTTTTTTTATTTGTTGTGGGAAAAAAAACATTTAGCAGATGAAAACTGGGATCCTATCTAAATACCACTGAAGCTATCACCTTATTGTTTTTGAATAATTAGCAAAACAGAATTTGTAAAGACAAGGAATGAAATAGACCTATCAGTAACCATGTATGTTCCAGCGCATATCATCATTAGAATTTCTTTTAAGTATTATGTCTTCAGTACAGGGGCCATAACAGGGGCCCGGGCATGATCTACAGGAGCACTAGCCCCCGTCGGCCCCGTTCTAGAACCGCCCATGAACCTAAACCAAATCCATGGTCAGTACATATAAATCAGAATGCTTTTGAATGCATTTTAATGTAGTTTTATACTAATTTAAGTTAAAAGAATAAAGATTTAATAAACCCACTACTTTAAATACTCAGTTTATAGTGATGTAGCTAATATTATAACTTTTTTTGGAATAGCACAAAATGATTGGAATGAAATGCTCAAATTAAAAGATTAAGTGAAATAATATTTACTCTATAATCAGTTATTGTACTTTCCACTTTTGGGCAGTCATCAATTATTTTGACTGAGAGTGGAACTAAAAAATGCCCAAATGCGTAAGCAAGTCAAAAAAAAAAGGTTGGGAAACACATTCAACCGTTAAAATATTAAATGCGTTTTCCCCTCCACGTTGTTGAACCTACCGAGCAGCGACCCGATCAGGATGAGAACCTGGACGGCGGTGGTGAAGTCCCGGTAGGCTTGCTCCGTGCTGAGGCGCTCCTGCTGCTCCTCCAGCCCGGATCCCTCTGCAGGTGGACTGCTGCTGCTGCTGCTGTCCCACCGGCCCGACGCGTTCACGACATCCAGCCAGAGGTGGGCTGCTGTGAAATTCACCGAACCGTCCCCCACCGTAGCTGCCCGGCTCCAGCCATCCATATCGATCACACAGAGAAATTATTTCCTATGCAAGACTGGAAGATTCTGCTCGCAAGAACTGAAAAACCATGATCTGGTTGTGTAGGATTGATGAAAAGAAAAAAAAAATCTATACATGGGAGGTTGAAAAAATCTAAAACGTAGAGGCAGGGAAAATAGGTGCAGTCAGTAATTAGGAGAGATTTCCAAAGCAAATCTTTAAACAAGGTAATAAATATATATATTTACTCACAGCGCAAGGTGAACCTCAGCTACCCGACCCACATTTTCCCAATAGAAATGCACGGCAGAAAATGCAGGTCAGTGCAAGCCACGCACGCTGGGGATGGCTGGACAGTGCTCCCTGACATGCAGAGCATCTAAAGCGTCACCGGGCTGCGAAATGTCCACGATCCACAGAGGAATTAAACGCGCACCGCCAAAAACACGCACCCTTCTCCCTTTCTTGCCCCAGACATTATTGTTGCAGGCTGGTTGATGCTGCGTCTGGATGGCGCGCAGAGACTGCGACCAAATACACTGTATCCCAGTTTAAGGTGAAAGAATGGAGAGCAGGGCCCCTCCTTCTGCTGTTGTACCGAGAAACTCCACTGAATCTTATGAATCACATGCAGGCACGATGACCAAGTGCATTCTAAATAAATGATCATGATGAATGGACTGTTAAACACTTCTGAAGATGAAGCCAACTGCCTCATTTAATAGCTCTTTTTTATTTTTATTTCTCATACAAGGAACAAAACAGAACTTGCTGAAAAATGATTTGGGATTTTTTTTTAAACCTAAACAGTGGCGGATCTAGACGAAATGTACCAGGGCCCAGGAGGGGGCCAGCATGTTTTTATGGGGGCTCAGAAAAGCATGAAATAAAAAGCAGGGCAAGAGATTCAAATATATTATGTCATGAACCGAGGGCAGAAGGACCCAGTATTCAAGGAGAGACAGTCAGTAGGAAAATTCAAAACATTTATTAAATAATAAAACAAAAATTAAAGTGGAGCTGTGGCTCGCGGACACTGCAGGATGGGGAGCAGGGCACCGCCCAATCACAGACACTCTGGTTTAACAGTCCAGTCCTAGAATGTCCTAAGTGCTGCAGTTCCAGAGGACATGCTGGAAGCCAATCCTGGTCAGGGATCCAGAACAGAGAGGGACAGGATCCAGAAGAGCAGGCTCAGTGGAAGAGGGTAGCCGAGACAGGACGTGGAACCAGAACTTGATGCAGGACCTTTAAACTGGTCTCCTCCCCGGAGCCAGGCTTACTGAGATAAAAACTGAACCTCCCCACAAATTGAGCCAAAAACCCAGAGGAGGAGGAACAGTGGACGATCAGGAGATGAGACAAACACCAAAAACCCTCTTTCCACTGGCTGCTAGGATCCAGGACTTGAACCATGAACTAAAACTGAACAGACAGACTGACAGAAAGACAAGAAATGATTTGGCACTGAATGCTCATGCTGAACTGAATATAACCAGGAGGAAACTGTCATGTTTTGCTTAAGGTTCCTAACCCACATGCAGAACACACCGAAGCAGGAGAAAAGTTCAAAGGTTTATTGAAATATTTCTGTACAAGGAATAAACAGATCCAGGGGTTAATCAGATCCAGGACTGGTCACGAGTGGAGGATGTGAGTGAGCAGGACAGTACCTGTTCTGGAGTTAGAGCTTAGCGGCTGAGGGGGGGAACCTTGAGGGTCCAGAGGCTGTCGGCTGCCTGAGGGCTTGGCGGAGGCAGAGCTTGGTTTGAGTGTTTGCAGATCACAAATTAGAGTTTCCCTTCCAGATTCTTCTGAGAGCGGGCAGGCAGGTCTTTGACAGGAAGGTTTCTCCAGGGTTCTTGAGAGATCAGACAGGCAGATTTACAACAGAGAAACTCTTCAGGGTTTCTGGTTTCAGGCAGGTTCAACCTGGGAAGCAGAAAGGAGACTTCAGATCAGGTTCAGGCTTTCAGGGAGTCAGAGATTCAGACAGGCAGGTTGGCTCAGGCTTGCTAACCGTAACTGGCAAACACTCTGGCACTGGAGAGACGTCCTCTGCCTCCTTAAATACTGATCTCCTGATGAGCAGACGAGCGACAGGTGGTGCAATCAGCTCCGGCTCCAGGAGATCTAGTACGCCCTCTGGTGGAGAAAGTGGACAGACCTCCAGATCCCAACAGAAACAGGTGAGAGGAATAAATTATAATTGAGGCAGGGAGGGAAAACCACAGGTGAAAGGAATGACTAATTAAGGGAGAGCAAACAGGCCAGATCATGACATATTAAGAGAGCTGCATGAAGTGAAATTTCTTTTCAATTAGGTTCAATAAAAATTCTATTTCTTATGAGGTCAATATTCATTTATGATTTAGGAATTTTACATATTTTTGACTTAATTTAAATTTAAAGTATCATTTTCTTGAAATTTTGATTTAGAACTCAAGAAAAACTGTTAAATTCGTCTGTAAAAATTAGAGATTTTTTTTTATTATTTGTTGTGGGGGAAAAAAACATTTAGCAGATGAAAACTGGGAACCTACAGTATCTCAATACCGCTGAAGCTATCACCTAATAAATAATTATTACTCTATAATCAGTTATTGTACTTTCCACTTTTGGGCAGTCATCAATTATGAATGAGAGTGGAACTCATGATAGGAACAAAAAATGCCCAAAGGTGTAAACAAGTAAAAAAAAAAAGGTTGGGAAACTCATTCAACCGTTAGAATTGTTTAAAATGAATATTTAATGCATTTTCTAGTGATATAGTTAATAATATAACTCACTTCTGATGATTTTGTGTTCACAAAAACAAGCTAAGTTTGATTTATAGCTGATTTAGAAATTAAATTTAGGTGCCAACTTCAAATTTGCAAGCCGGCTGTGATGCTTATATTGTGTACAACACTAGAGGGTACCCACATGTCTGGGTCTGACATAAAGCAGCAGATATTTGTTTAAGGTGTGACTAAAATACTTTAGAAACATATAGACACAAGGAATTTGGGTTTTCATTACCTGTAATGGGTAGTTATCACAATGACAAGAAATAAAGAATTGAAATATTATAGTCTATGTGTAATAAATGTAATAAATTCAATTTTTACGTATAAAAATGAAAGATAACAAATATTTCTTTTTTCCATATTTTGTTTTTTTATTCACCTGCAGTGCTCTCTGTAACCATAAAGTCAACAATGAAGGAAGGGAGAAAGAAAATTCAGAAATAGTCAGAAAAAGATCTTTAGATATTTATAATACTAACCTCAAATTTCACCATTTTAAGGTGATTTAAGCAAAGCATTCAGATCCCTCATTTGAATGTGTCAAATATACATAGAAACCAATCAAATGGAAAACAAATGTTCCCCGATTCATACCATTTTGAGAATCTCTCGCTTGCAAGTCAAAACCAAATCGAATTAAAATCTACCATAAGTCTTTTAAACACTTCGAGTTTTATGAAATCCTACAAGTAGAAATCACTCATTCATCTCTCAGCTGTGTTGTTCTTTTAAGCTTATATGCTAGTGGTAAATAATTAGCGTCTGAATGGACCTTCATATGAAGGCATTAACATGATATTTAAAGACAGCTCGTTCTGTGCTTATGGAGAATGTCAAACCTTCTGAAAGGACCCTTTTGCACTCTGCAGTTGTTGCTTTTAGTTCACCCTTTTAACCGGAGCATGAAACATTCCTCTTGGGTTTGAAGAAAGTACAAGAAGAAGGGGAGGAGACATTTCTGCATTGCAAAACAGTTTACAGAACAATAGATAACAGAGTACGGCATGTGAATGTGTGTCATATTTTCAGAATTCCTCCAAGAAGGAGGTTTTTGATGTGATACAATATGAAAAGGTTCTAGGCAAGTATAATTTCAAATTGTTGATACTTAGATAATACGTTGGTTGTCTAGAATTTCAAAAATACGTGTGTTTTGGTAACAAAACTGGATAAAACCTTATGCGTATGTGCCTTGCGGGAAAAATGTAAAGACATTTGAGGAAAGATTGAATGCAGAATTTTAATGTGTGTTTGATAAATATAATTTGATAAATATGGAAAAACAATAAAAATATTGTCAGAAGTTATTTTTTATTACTTTAACTACAAAGTTAGGCATGAAAAAAATACAGAAACACAAGGAAAGTTTCCAGGAAAAACAGACAGTTTAGTTCAATTTTAGACTTTCCTCTATGATGCAGTTTAAAAATAACGCTACATCAGCAAAGCAAATTCCCTAAAACTGACGAATGTCTTCATGCGAATTTTAAACATTTCAAAACTTAAGGTGCAAATATAAAAAATATAAAAAAAAAACATTGAGGAGCTAGAATAACTGTTGAATTTATTACTTCAAATTTGTGCTATGTTACATTAGCTAAAGAAAACCATGCCAAACCATTAAAGATGGAAAATAAAATAAAATCTCTTGTAATCATCAGACTGTTTTGGGTTTTTTGTGGGTTTCTTGAACTGTTTTGTTGTAATAGTGTAATAGTTCCTCTCGCTAACATGTGGGTGTATTAGCTCATAAATTGCGCAACAATCACACAATGTTGGGGTATAACAAAAAAAAAAAATAACTAGTAGTAACAAACCAACTTTTTTTTGGTTTCTAGGCCTTCAGTCCTGTTTTACTGTTAACAATAAATTATCAAGAAGACTCAGGCTTGAGCATTCAGATAACCAAACAATAAACTCAATCTTAGCAAGTTCCCATTAAGTTTCAAGGTAATGTTCACAGCTAGGTGGTTTTAATCCAAAGGTGTGTTCACACAAAATGCAAACTAAGCAGCTGGAGCAAAGGATTCCATTGTTATCTCTATGTAGAACGGCAACTCTGGAGAACAGCTGATCGAGGCGAAGTTTAGCGAGCTGAATAGCACAATCCTGGTGAATTCAGCGAAATGTAATCTCTGGCATGTATGCAAATAAATCTAAGCAAACTTTGCAGAGTTGAAAAATTAGGACACTTGTTAACATTTGCATCCCTTAATCCAGTCAGGGAGTAGATGTGGTGAACAAGGCAGCAAAAACAAGCTTTTATTCAATCAAAATTGTAGATAAAGAAAATAATTTGGACAAAGGACGAAGTGGGAAGCTGTTTTATTTTAGCTGTAGAAGGACTGCTTCTTCATCATATTTCCTGCATAAACACCTGTCAGCCAATGCCTTCTTTCCCCAGCTCTGACGCTGTTTGCCCGGCAAGCTTCTTGATCATACACTGCAATCTTTTCTTCTTGTGCAGTTAGCCTATAGAGTCTCGCTCCAGCCAGTTGCGACCTCGGGCTTCTACGATGTCCCACTCTCCTATTCCCAGGAAGCCGAAGCCTCTATCCTGTCTGAGCTCCAGATTGCTGTCTCACCTTCTCTTTTTTTAACTGGATCACGGATAGGTGCAAGTAACTCTAAAAGCGACATACCCATTGGAGGTGGCTACGGGAATTTGACTGTATGATCTGGTGAACTGTAAAGTGCCTTGAGATGACATGTGTTGTGAATTGGCTGTCACAATCTTGGTTCTGTTATGGG